CTCATCCCTACTTTCACATTTGAGTAGAATCAACCCATCAATGTAATCCTCATTCTTGCCTTTAAGTTCCAACATCGCTAATCACAAGTGGGGAGAGGCTTTATAAGGAGAAAGTTCTCTTGAAAATCATTGCCTGAGTATCAGTGACCCTGCCGAGAAAACAGCTCATATACCTCACATTGTAGCATACCGAAATGGCTTTGATAAAGACTTCATAACTCCGTGATCCTCAACCTTAGAAGTCACCTAACTGATAGCTTCTTTCATAACCGGGCTGACCACTTGACTAATCGAATGATCTAACCTGGCGAACGCATACTGGCTACCGATTCTTTCCTTAGTAATCTGAGAAGGAAAATCCCGTAGTGAAACCTAAGAATGATTAGGGATCAAGTGCGCAGACATGAGCACAAAATTGAACTGTCCGAACTGCTCAGGGTACTTTCCACGACTTCAGCCATGGTTCAACCTGCGGCTCATAACCTTGGCGCTACAGCCCATCGCCCGTTTCGCAAAAGGAATTAGTGGAGATTCGCAGGGAACTTATGGGAGAGGCATATGCTATAATGCAGCTCACCTTTCCCTACATTTCGAGAATGTTTTGAAAAATTTTGTATTTGTGCGCTACCCATAACTATTCTTTTACAATTATTATATTGCTAAACTGTTATAGTCATCATTCAGGTCATCACGGTTATGCTTAGAAATGGATTACGTGCTGGAGAAGATGGTTTGGAGGAATTCGAAGATATTTCTAAAACAATTTTCCAAGTAGTAAGAAATCACTACTGAGCCGTACACCTATGAATATACGCTTCATTTAGAACAAATAAAATGTTATCTATTTTGAAACTAAGCAAAATGTACAATGAAAACAAAGCAATTACTGTAAAACAATGAGAAGGAAAACCATGGATTAAAGGCAGTGAGTACGGTAATTGAGGACAGGTTCAGAATAAATGCGAGCTTGTCAAACAGTAGGTCAGTGCCGCAAGAAGCACAGAAATTTGTCACAATCCGCGAAATAAGATTCCAATTTTGTTTGTCAATTTCAAACGAGTTTGTGGAGAAGCGGCTGTTTGGGTGAGCATACCCCGATGAAATTACAGCAAGACAAGATTTCAAGGTACGGCTATTTGAAGCAAAATGCATTTGTAATAAAAATGGAAATCAATCGATCGCAAACGTCGGAAGTCATTCCTGGACGCAAAGCGAAATTGAGCCCGGCTTGTAAATAGCATACTCTTGGTAGCAGAAACGCCACACCTCGCTTTCTTTGTCATCAGACTATCGCATACACTGATACACATCCTTAC